AAATCTGAAATGTGTAAGAGACGAGTGTTATACAAGTGGGAATTGTTTCAAATGACCTTCCCCATTAACAAAATTGACCAAATGACCTTTGACTCAAAAGGGAAGAATAAAGTAAATGAAAAATGATATTACAAATACAAGTACTAATATACCCTTCACATAATTTTGTAATAAATTTTTCTTTCCTTCTCCATTTTTCTCTTTTGCTCCCGCATTTCTTCTTCTCGTCACTCCCTCTCGCTCTCTGCTTTTTCTTCTGCAATTTTTCGCGAACAATCACTATGGAACTCTATCTCGTCAATGCCGGTACGGATTTTTTCGTTTTTTGTCAATTTGTTCTTTTATTCAATTTGATAATGGTGGAGAAAGATTTTGATTGCGTTATGTGAATTCATCTAATTTTGTTTGGTTTGATGGAATTGAAGATGATAATTGATGCACTCTATGTGTTTGATGAAATGCTTGTAGGATTGAGTTAATGAAGTAAGAGAGTAATTGGTGCACTCTATATGTTTGATGAAATGCTTCCTATGCTACTTGTTGTATACTTAGAACCAATCAATTCATCTTCGTTATATATTACACTAGAACGAGTGCACACTCGTTATAGTATCGCAATACTTATAACGAAACTCATTTTATGAGATAACGATACTTGTTTCGCTTTATATATTGATAGAAACCATTAAAAATCACTTAAATTGTAATTATAATAAGTAAAATATCATTATAATGTATTATATAGCGAAGGTATAGGTGTATTTAATCGACCGGGATGAAAATATAATCATAACGAATGTACATTCATTATGTTGAAATCATAACGAATGTACTCTCGTTATGGTTATTTTGATGGAATGACGTGTTAATGATTCTATCTTCATTATATATGACATTAGGGTGATATTTTAAACTCGTTATATATGACGTGTTAATGATTCTATCTTCGATCTAAAAATAACCATAACGAATGTACATTCGTTATATGTATGAGTTTTGATAAGCCAGTATTTATTCAAGCTTCAGTTTAATAGCATGCTTTGTTAAGTTCAAAGAATAAAAGAAGCTCGATATAGAATAAAAATCGTTTTATTAGTATCCTTTAGAAATGAGTTAACTTATAATTTTAACGAGTAAAATATCGTCATAATTTATTATATGTGAATGTATAGGTGTATTTAATTGACCGAGATAAAAATATACCTATAATGAAGATTCATTTGTTATGGTGTATGAAATAACGAATGTACATTCTTATGTATTAAATTAAAACCAATAACGAGAGTACTTTACAACAATTGTTATAGTAATTTTAGAAACGACATTATATACCTAATTTAAGCTCCTTGTTTGATTTATTTAAGGTCAGTGTTAGTACTTATTGCTTGTTTGATCTATTATGACTTATGTTATCTTTCTTTTCTGTTTTTAGGAACCAAAAAGGAATATGCGTTTGATATACCTTCCCAATGCAAAGCAGTCCTGACCAATCGGTGCAACCTCAATGTTGTGAGTGAAGTATTTGACAACCTAGACAAAGCAAATAAAAATCGATTTGCAGAGTCTTTCTTTCGGCCACTAATAAATATTCCCGAGTTCATAGTGTCCTCGCAAATAGTCCACAAAGTACTTCATAGGACATTGAAAGCGTCCAAAAATGACAAAGATGGCGTGTGGTTTAGATTTGGGGAAAACGAAGCTAGGTTTGGGTTACAAGAGTTTTGTCTTATAACCGGATTTAAGATTGCGGCGGATGATGAAAATGCGTACGAGGTCCCCAAAAATAACAGTTTGCTTTTGCAACTGTTCAAGGAGAAGCGGGGGAAGATCAAACGCAGTGACTTACTCGAGAAATTTTCATGAGGTGAAAGCGTCCGAAAATGACAAAGACGGCGCGTGGTTTAGAATCTGAATGCTAACTGCTGAAAAGTTTGATTGGAAACAATTGACATCTTCTAGCCAAAGCAATGGGTACGTATAATATATATTTTGATCATATTAGGTTTTCAAGTGTATTATGAGACTTGGTAAAGTAATGGAATTTGTACATTTATGTTGCAAGTTTGATTGTGGGATGTTTACAATCAAGTGTATAGAATTTTTGCATGCTGGGAAGAATGTTGAAGGTGTAGATCAATCTCGGATTAGTGACTGGCGTGTAAAACTAGCGGCTGAAATATTTGGTGCTCATTTTGATCCATAGTTTGTTTTAAACATTTAATATGTAACAGGTTGTAAGGATCTTTTGGATAATACATTTTTGTATTGTTTTTCATGTGTTTTTCAATGCAATGATGCGGGTGGTCGATTTTTGAAGTTGTATTTTTTACGTACTTCCTAATGCAGTGGTTATAATAGTATTTTATCAAAATGATTAAAGTTATTACTGTAACGAGAAGTTTTAATTTAATAAATAACAAAGGGGTTCGATGCCGAGCTCCCGAAAATAAGTCGAGGAACCGATTACAAGTCGTTTAAAAAATAACAAATGTACAGTCGTTATTTTGTCTAAAATAATGAATCTACATTCGTTATTTAAAAAATTAAAAACATGATTGTCGCGGGCACGACGTCCTGGCAACCTTCTCTGTCCGACCCAGAGTCGCTCCCGCGACACATGTCGCGACCGCAACATATAGTCTTCTCATTATAGCGATCGTACAATCGTTATTTTGTATAGAATAACGAATCTACATTCGTTATTTAAAAAATAAAAGTAAAACTCGCTTGTCGCGGGCGGTCCTGGAAACCTTCTCTGTCCGACCCAGAGTCGCTCCAGCGACACATGTCGCGACCGCGACATGTAGTCTTTTCATTATAACGACTATACAATCGTTATTTTGTATAAAATAACAAATCTACATTCGTTATTTAAAAAAAAATAAACATTCCTATCGCGGGCGCGATGTCTGTCGTGGCCGTGACGTCCTGGCAACCTTCTCTATCCGACCCTGTGTCGTTCCCGCGACACATGTCGCGACCGCGACATATAGTCTTTTCATTATAACGATTGTACAATCTTTATTTTGTATTAAATAACGAATCTACATTCGTTATTAAAAAATAAATAAACCTTGCTTGTCGCGTTGTTTTGGTCGTTGCATATTAAACTAGTATTTTAACAATAGTCGTGTCGTTCGGGTCGTTTTGGAAAATAACCATAACGAATTCAATCTCGTTGCACATATAACGAATGTACATTCGTTATGGTTGTTTTTCGACCAAATCCACCTTAAATGACCATGCATTCGTTATATAATACATTATAAAGATATTAAACTCGTTATAGGTCTAATTTTGTTCATTTTTAAGTTAAAATAACGAATTTACAAAGATATTACATGATCTTTCCATTTTTCAAAAACAAAAAAAAACCAAGTATTGTTATTTCAAAAAAGAGTTTCGTTGTGAGTGTTTCGACACTAAAAAAACTTCAAACTATCATTCTGATGACATGTAACATGAATATACAATCGTTATCAAGTAAGTCAATCAAAAAATCCATGAAGAAAGCGCGTTTGTGTCGAAAAACAACCATAACGAATGTGCATTCGTTGCACATTCGTTATAGTTGTTTTTCGACCAAATCCACCTTAAACGGCCGTGCATTCATCATATAATACATTATAAAGACATTAAACTCATTATAGGTCAAATTTGTGTTATTTTTTTACTTAAAAAAATGAATTTACAAAGATATTACATGATCTTTCCATTTTTAAAAAACAAAAAAAACCAAGTATTGTTATTTGAAAAAAGAGTTTTGTGAGTGTTTCGACACTCTAAAAACTTCAAACTAACGTTCCGATGACATGTAACATGAATATACAATCGTTATCAAGTAATTTGATCAAAAAAGCCATGAAGAAAGCGCGTTTGTGTCGAAAAATAACTATAACGAATGTGCATTCGTTATAACAAATGCACATTCGTTATGGTTGTTTTTCGACCAAATCCACCTTAAACGACCGTGCATTCGTCATATAATACATTATAAAGATATTAAACTCGTTATAGGTCTAATTTTGGTCATTTTTAAGTTAAAATAACGAATTTACAAAGATATTACATGATCTTTCCATTTTTCAAAAACAAAAAAAAAAACCAAGTATTGTTATTTCAAAAAAGAGTTTCGTTGTGAGTGTTTCGACACTCTAAAAACTTCAAACTATCATTCTGATGACACGTAACATGAATATACAATTGTTATCAAGTAATTCGATCAAAAAAGCCATGAAAAAAGCGCGTTTGTGTCGAAAAATAACCATAACGAATGTTCAATCGTTATGACGAATGTACATTCGTTATGGTAGTTTTTCGACCAAATCCACCTTAAACGACCTTGCATTCGTCATATAATACATTATAAAGATATTAAACTCGTTATAGGTCTAATTTTGGTCATTTTTAAGTTAAAATAACGAATTTACAAAGATATTACCTGATCTTTCCATTTTTCAAAAGCAAAAAGAAAAACCAAGTATTGTTATTTCAAAAAAGAGTTTCGTTGTGAGTGTTTCGACACTCTAAAAACTTCAAACTATCATTCTGATGACACGTAACATGAATATACAATTGTTATCAAGTAATTCGATCAAAAAAGCCATGAAAAAAGCGCGTTTGTGTCGAAAAATAACCATAACGAATGTTCAATCGTTATGACGAATGTACATTCGTTATGGTAGTTTTTCGACCAAATCCACCTTAAACGACCTTGCATTCGTCATATAATACATTATAAAGATATTAAACTCGTTATAGGTCTAATTTTGGTCATTTTTAAGTTAAAATAACGAATTTACAAAGATATTACCTGATCTTTCCATTTTTCAAAAGCAAAAAGAAAAACCAAGTATTGTTATTTCAAAAAATAGTTTCGCTGTGAGTGTTTCGACACTCTAAAAACTTCAAACTATCGTTCCGATGACATGTGACATGAATATACAATCGTTATCAAATAATTCGATCAAAAAAGCTATGAAGAAAGCGCGTTTGTGTCGAAAAACAACCATAACGAATGTGCATTCGTTACACATTCATTATGGTTGTTTTCGACCAAATCCACCTTAAACGACCGTGCATTCGTCATATAATACATTATAAAGATATTAAACTCGTTATAGGTCTAATTTTGGTCATTTTTAAGTTAAAATAACGAATTTACAAAGATATTACATGATCTTTCCATTTTTCAAAAACAAAATAAAACAAGTATTGTTATTTCAAAAAAGGGTTTCGTTGTGAGTGTTTCGACACTCTAAGAACTTCAAACTATCATTCCGATGACATGTAACATGAATATACAATCGTTATCAAGTAATTCGATCAAAAAATCCATGAACAAAGCGCGTTTGTGTCGAAAAACAACTATAACGAATGTATAACAAATGCACATTCCTTATGGTTGTTTTTCGACCAAATCATCCTTAAACGATCGTGCATTCTTCATATAATACATTATAAAGATATTAAACTCGTTATAGGTCTAATTTTGGTCATTTTTAAGTTAAAATAACGAATTTACAAAGATATTACATGATCTTTCCATTTTTCAAAGACGAAAAAAAAAACCAAGTATTGTTATTTCAAAAAAGAGTTTTGTTGTGAGTGTTTCGACACTCTAAAAACTTCAAACTATCGTTCCGATGACATGTAACATGAATATGCAATCGTTATCAAGTAATTCGATCAAAAAAGCCATGAAGAAAGCGTGTTTGTGTCGAAAAACAACTATAACGAATGTATAACAAATGCACATTCCTTATGGTTGTTTTTCGACCAAATCATCCTTAAACGATCGTGCATTCTTCATATAATACATTATAAAGATATTAAACTCGTTATAGGTCTAATTTTGGTCATTTTTAAGTTAAAATAACGAATTTACAAAGATATTACATGATCTTTCCATTTTTCAAAGACGAAAAAAAAAACCAAGTATTGTTATTTCAAAAAAGAGTTTTGTTGTGAGTGTTTCGACACTCTAAAAACTTCAAACTATCGTTCCGATGACATGTAACATGAATATGCAATCGTTATCAAGTAATTCGATCAAAAAAGCCATGAAGAAAGCGTGTTTGTGTCGAAAAACAACCATAACAAATGTGCATTTTTTTCAACCAAATCCACCTTAAACAACAGTGCATTCGTCATATAATACATTATAAAGATAATAAACTCGGTATAGGTCTAATTTTGGTAGTTTTTAAGTTAAAATAACGAATTTACAAAGATATTACATTATCTTCCATTTTTCAAAAAAAAAAAAAAAATAAGTATTTGTTATTTCAAAAAAGAGTTCGTTGTGAGTGTTTCGACACACTAAAAACTTCAAACTATTGTTCAAAGGTGATATATGACCAACAACAATGTTTTACACGTCATTCCATAAAAAAAAATGAGAGCACTTTCGTTGCGATTTTCACCATAACGAATGTATATTCATGATAACGATTGTATGTTCGTTATGGTTCAGTTTTGATAAAAAACACCTAAAACTCAATATATAATCCATTACAAAGATATTACACACGTTGTAGGTACAATTTTACTCATTTTTCATGTAACATAAGGAATGTACAAAGATTCTAGATGATCCAACCATTTTCCAAGAACAAAATAAAAAGACAAGTATAATTATGAGTATTTCCATTCCGTTATGAGTATTTCCACGCTCTAACGGGTCTAAACTATCGTTCAAAGGTGATATATGACCAACAACAATGTTTTACACTTCATTCCATAAAAAAAAAACCAAACCGGGAGCACATTCGTTGTTGTAATGAATGTACATTCGTTATGGTTGTTTTTCGACCAAATCCACTTTAAACGATCGTGCATTCGTCATATAATACGTTATAAAC